TCCTGGTCAACAAGGTGAAACCCCGTCTCTACTAAAAATACAAAAATTATCTGGGCATGGTGGCGCGCGCCTGTGGTCCCAGCTACTCGGGAGGCTGAGGCAGGAGAATTGCTTGAACCCAGGAGGCGGAGGTTGCGGTGAGCCGAGATCGCACCATTGCACTCCTGGGTAACAAGAGTGAAACTCTGTCTCAAAAAACAAACAAACAAACAAACAAACAAAAAAAAACCTTAAATTAACGAAAGACAGAGATTGGGAGATTGTTCCAGTAAAGTAAAGAGACATGTACAGTACCAGAAGACATGAGACTGAATTAGATCCAGGATCTGGAGGAAAATTGCCATAAAAGAGACAGCAAATTTTGAATTTGGTTGGTATACGAGGCCATAGCATTGTATTATATAAAGGTTACATTTTCAAAATGGTTGACCCTTGAACAAGGTGGGGTTGGGGGTACCAATGCAGTCGAAAAGCCAAGTGTATAACTTTTATTTGAGGCAGGGGACAGAGTCTTGCTCTGTTGCCAGGCTGGAGTGCAGTGGCTCAGTCTCGGCTCACTACAACCTCCACCTCCTGGGCTCAAGCAGTCCTCCCAGCTCATCCTCCCAAGTAGTTAGGACTACACACCCAGCTAATTTTTGTATTTTTAGTAAAGATGGAGTTTCACCATGTTGGCCAGGCTGGTCTCAAACTCCTGGCCTCCACCACAGCCTCCCAAAGTGCTGGGATTACAGGTGTCAACTGCCCAGCCTGGCTAGAAACTTTTAACTCCCCAAAACGTCTGTCAGCCTAATGTTGATCAGAAGTCTCACTGATAACAGAGACAGTTGATTAGCACACATTTTATATATGCATTATACATTGTATTCTTATAATAAAGCTAGAGAAAAGAAAATCATAAGGAAGAGAAAATATCTTTACTCTTCTTAAGTGGAAGTGGACCATTGTAAAGGTGTTCGTCCTTCGTGTCTTCACGTGGAGGAGGAGGAGAGGGAGGAAGAGGAAGAGGTGGGCTTGGTCTTGCTTGTGTGGCAGAGGTGGAAGAAAATCGTGTATAAGCAGACATGCAGTTGAAACTTGTTGTTTGAGGGTCCGTTGCATTTGATAATTGTACTGTGGATATTTGAGAGAATACTGCTGTTCTTACAAGATACACACTGCACTATTTAGGAGAAAAGAGGTGTGTTGCCTACAACTAACTCCCGAATGGTTTAGCACAGGAGTGGGCAAACCTTTCTGGTAAAAGGCCAAATAGTGAAATTGTTGGGCTTTATGGGCCATATGGTCTCAGTCACAACTACGGGTGGTGCTGTTAGAGTTCCAAGGCAGCCACAGGCAAAATACATAAATGGGTGGGCGTGGCTGTGTTCCAATAAAACTTTATTTATGGATACTGCAAGGCCAATTTCATATGATTTTCACACACTTCAAAAGATTCTCGTGATTTTTTTTTCAATTCTGCAAACCCATTTCTGTCTTACTGAGCATACAAAGTTAGGTGGCCAGACTTGGCCTACGGCTGTGGTTTACAAATGCCTGCCTGATAAAGAAAAAGAACACACAGCCAGGCACACACACGTGTGCACATGCGAGCACGCAGACACGGGGGTAAAGCAAATGCAGCATGACAGAACAGCTGGTGAAACTGAGTGAAGAGTAGAGGCGAGTTCTTTGTATTGTTTTTGTAATTTTGCAAGCTTGAAATTATTATTCATTTATTTATTTTTTGAGACAGAGTTTCACTGTGTTACCCAGGCTGGATGGAGTGCAGTGGTGCAATCTCAGCTCACTGCAACCTCCGCCTCCTGGGTTCAAGCGATTCTTCTGTCTCAGCCTCCTGAGTAGCTGAGATTATAGGCGTGAGCCACCACACCCATCTTGAAATTATTTTAAAATAAAAATATTAAGTAAAATAAAAGCATTGATTTTCCTTCCTGGGGGGCCCAGGAAGGAGAGAGGGAGACATCCTTTCATCTTCCTAGTGGGTGGGCCGAGGTGACTCAGCATTCTTGGATGTCGCTTCTAATTGTCATCTAGTCACTTGTCATTTTTATTGTCATCTTAGTCATTTCTTAGCCTTTGCCTCTTCCTTGTTTTCTGACTTAACTTCCATACCTAGGTGCCTTGCTTGGCAGGCAGGGGACTTTAGCCTCTGCTCACTGTTGGAGCATCTCCTTTTGCTCTCCCTCTGCTAAATCCATCTCTCCGCCTGTTAAAAAAGAGTTACTTTAAACATGTTTGTTGACTTATCGTTGCTTTGTTTTCAGTGTTTTTAATTTCTCCGCCATGTTCACCTTGTCTGTATCATCCCAGCTTTTTAGTACACTTGCTGCCAAAGTGAGCACTGGCTTATGGTTTTTAATGTTTTTTTGAGACGAGGGCTACCCATCTCAGGCTGGAATGCAGTGGCACAATCTTGACTCGCTGCAACCTCCGCCTCTCAGGTTCAAGCAATTCTCCTGCCTCAGCCTCCCGTGTAGTTGGAACTACAGACACATGCCATCACACCTGGCTAATTTTTTGTATTTTTAGTAGAGATGGGGTTTCACCTTGTTAGCCAGGATAGTTCGATCTCCTGACCTCATGATCCGCTGACCTCATGATCCACCGACCTCGGCCTCCCAAAGTGCTGAGATTATAGGCGTGAGCCACTGTGCCCGGCCTTAATTTTTTAAATTAATTAATATTATTTATTAATTATTATTATTTAATTAATATTATTTTTTTGAGGCAGAGTTTTGCTCTTTTGCCCAGGCTAGAGTGAAGTAATGTGGTCTCAGCTCACCGCAACCTCTGCCCCCGAGTTCAAGTGATTCTCCTCCTCAGCCTTCTGAGTATCTGGGATTGCAGACGCCTGCCCCCACACCCGGGTAATTTTCACATTTTTGTTTTTTTGTTTTTGTTTTTGTGGAGGAGTCTCACTCTCACCCAGGCTGGAGTGCAATGGCATGGTCTCAGCTCACTGCAACCTTTGCCTCCCAGGTTCGAGCGATTCTCCTGCCTCAGCCTCCCAGGTAGATGGGACTATAGGCATGCACCACCACACCCGGCTAATTTTTGTATTGTTAGTAGAAACGGGGTTTCACTATGTTGGCCAGGCTGGTCTCGAACTCCTGACCTCGTGATCCATCCGCCTTGTCCTCCCAAAGTGCTGGGATTACAGGCATGAGTCACCGCACCCAGCTGTAATTTTTACGTTTTTATTAGAGATGGAGTTTTGCCATGTTGGCCAGGCTGGTCTCTAACTCCTGACCTCGGGTGTTCTACCTGCCTCGGTCTCCCAAAGTGCTGGAATTACAGGTGTGACCCACTGCGCCTGACCAGCTTACTGTTTTTAATGTCATGGTCTTCATCTCACATATTGGTTTCCCTAAATTTTTGGTGTTTGTCTTAGAACTCCAGAGATAAGGGGTTGTTTCCCTACCTGTAGTGTTACTTATTGGGAGGCGTGTGATGGTGGCAAAGTCAAGAAGTTCCTGTGTTCTGTTCCCCCAGCACTGGGGCGAAGTCTTCTATATTTTTCCTAGCCTTGTGGCCCCAAATGGTTATTTCAAGAATGAGCTATTTGAGTTCATTGGCATGACTGCTTCTGGAGGGCAGAGGGCAGCTTTAAGGGAAGGGTGTGTGCTTTTCTTAGTTGACTTAGCAGCAACTCTCTTCATTGCCAGGATCAGAAACTCAACTCAAAGTGAACACTACGTGAAAAGTGATTTATTAATTTATATATCCTTGAATGTTGGATAGCATGACATTCAGTCTGGGCTAGACCCAACAGCTAAAATGTTGCTGTGAGAGAATTCTGTCTCTTATCATCTCTCAATTTTTTTTTTTTTTTTTTAAAGACAGAGTCTTGTTCTGTCACCCAGGCTGGAGTGCTGGAGTGCAATGGCATGATCGGGGCTCACTCCAGCCTCTACCTCCTGAGTTCAAGCAGTTCTTCTGCCTCAGCCTCCTGAGTAGCTGGGACTACTGGCATGTGTCATCACACCCGGCTAATTTTTGTATATTTAGTAGAGACAGGGCTTCACTATGTTGGCCCAGCTTGTCTTGCACTCCTGAGCTCAAGTGATCCACCCTCTTTGGCCTCCCAAAGTGCCGGTATTACAGGCATGAGCCACTGTGCCTTACCCTCATCTGCCAATTCTGTTTTCCTGTTTGGCTTTATTCTTAGGCAGACCGTCCCCACTCAGAGCCTCAGGTATACCTTCTACCAGATTAACAAACCCAGGAGAAAAAGCACACCCCTAAATCAATGATTTTAGCCAAAGTCCCAGGGCTGGCTCTCATTGGCCCAGAGTGTGTCATGTGTTCACCTCTGAACCAGTCAGTTGCCAGAGGATTAGAGGATTGTGATTGGCTAGGCCTGGATCACATGACCACCCTCAGCATGAGAACCTTCAGCTTTTCTCAAGGACCAGAGGTGGCCCTTGAAGGCATTTTTGTTTGGTTGCTATTACCATCAGAAGAAATGGCACCTGAGTAGGAAAAAGAAGCAATTACTTAGCACACAAGTACTGTGCCATGCTGCCTTCCCCAGTTCCAGTCCCAGTTTTCTAAGCTACATCCTTCATGGTATCATTTTCACCGCTAGACTGTGATCTCTGCAGCTGGTTCTATGACCACAATCAAAGCATGTAAATAACCTGGGCAGGCATGTGGCTCATGCCTGTAATCCTAGCACTTTGGGAGACTGAGGTGGGTGAATTGCTTGAGGTCAGGAGTTCGAAACCGTGGTGGCCAATATGGTGAAACCCTGTCTCCACTAGAAATACAAAAATTAGCCAGGCATGATGGTGCACACCGGTAGTTCCAACTACTTGGGAAGCTGAGGCGGGAGAATCACCTAAACCCAGGAGGTGGAGGTTTCAGTGAGCTGAGATTGTGCCACTGCACTCCAGCCTGGGCAACAGAGCAAGACTCTTTCTCAAAAGAAAAAAGAAAAAGAAAATGACCTGCTCACATTCTCCCACACACCCTTCCCCGGGTCCCCTGTCCTTCAGGAAACACACAGGATCTACAAGCAGAAGCTGGAGGAGCTGGCTGCGCTGCAGACGTTGTGTAGCAGTTCCATCAGTAAGCAGAAGAAGCACCTCCAGGACTTGAAGCACACACTCCAGAGGTAGGCGCGGCTGCAGCCCGGGGGCCGCCCTGGTTCTGAGGGACAGAAGCCCAACTCAAAACAGTCTGAAGCAGGAAAGGAAATCTTAGTGGAAAAAGACAGGACCGAAATCTGCTTCCGGCATCACTGGATCCAGGGGCCAAAGGCTATTTTTAGGAATCTGTTTTTTTTTCCTCTGAATTCTGCCTTCCTCTGGATTGGTGTCACTCTCAGGGTGACTGTCCCTCCACCAGCAGTGCCAGGCTTATATTTTCCAGCCTTGCTTTCTGCCAGCTGTGCCACCCCGGCTGAAGGAGAGTTTCTCTCTCTCTTTTTTTTTTTTTGAAATGGAGTCTCTCGCTTCTGTTGCCCAGGCTGGAGTGCAGTGGAATGATTTTGGCTCACTGCAACCTCTGTCTCCTGGGTTCAAGTGACTGTCCTGCCTCAGCCTTCTGAGTAGCTGGGATTACAGACATGAGCCACTGTGCCTGGCCGAGAGTTTCTCTTTCCCAGTGCTTCAGCAGACATTCTGCATCCAGTCCTCATTGGCTGGGGTTGGTTCAGTGTCCATTTGTGAAGTAGTCACTGAGACACTGCTTGGGCAGCATCATGTGTGCTCAATCTGTGGCCCTGGGAGGTGGAGGGACAGCCTCATGGGCAGTGGGAGAAGATGATTAGTTTCCCAGGTGAAAGTTGGGTGCTGTTATAGGAAGGTTACCTGCTGGACAAGTAAACAGGCAGTGTCCTTTCGTGGGTGTGGGGTGCCCTCCCCATCGGGGTCTCTGGTATAGCGGGCACTAAGTTGCCCGGTGGTGGAGATGTGCTGGAGCTTATAGCTTAGTTCGATTCCCAAGGCCTGGATCATGTCCATTTCCCAACAGTGGTCCCTAGGTCTGGAAGGCCGCTCCTGCCTGGTATATGAAGGGGCCCAGTGTATCCTGTGACCCCCCCCTTGTCAGCCAGGGAAACTGAGGCTCTGAGTGACTTGTCCCAGGTTGCTTAGCTGGGCCTCCATTTTAGAATCTGGGACTCCTGGTTAACTCTTTCCTTGTGGACAATTTTGGGGGAGGTCATGATTATAGCTCTCAGTGTGACTGGCCATTCTGGAAATGGAGGCCCACAACTGAGGGGTGGAGAGTGTGGATGGCCCCACACAAACACGTCGCCAGATGTGGCTTGGAAAAACATGTCTTGCAAATGGCAGGACTCAGAGTCCTGAGTCTTTTTTCAGTCTAGAGTTTTTCAGATTCTCAGTGATTGCTTCATAGATGGGCATATGCTAACCCAAGCACTATTGATGAGTCTGATGCGTATTTGTGGGGGGCTGTGGACTGCGGGATACTGAGTAGCATCCTTGGCCTCTGCCCACCGATGCCAGTAGCACTCCCACCCGAGTGTGACCACCAAGATGTCCTCCAGGCGTTGCTGGCTGTCCCCAGTTGAGAAGTGCTGGTTTAGAAGGTTTGTGAGTTAGGGTCTTAGACCAAGGACTCCTGCCATTCCGAGATGTGTCTGTTGATTTGTTTTCTAGTTTTGAGAGTTCCATGTTACCAAAGAAAAACAGTCAGACCTTGATTGGTCAACTGCTTATGGTTTCAGGGGCCTTTCTGTTTGTCTTCTTGGTAATCTGTAGGTTATTCCTTTATTTTTTATTTTTAAAAATTATTTCTATTTATTTATTTATCTGTTTTTGAGACAGAGTCTCACTTTGTCACCCAAGGTGGAGTGTGGAATGTAGTGGTGCAGTCTCGGCTCGCTGAAGCCTCTGCCTCCTGGATTCAAGCGATTCTCCTGCCTCAGCCTCCCAAGTAGCTAGGATTGTAGGTGCGCACCACCACGCCTGGCTAATTTCTGTACTTTTAGTAGAGATGAGGTTTTACCATGTTGGCCAGGCTGGTCTAAAACTCCTGACCTCAAGCAATCCTCCCACCTCAGCCTCGCAAGGTGCTGGGATTACAGGAGTGAGCCACCATGCCCGACCTTATTTTTTTTGAGATAGGGTCTTGCTCTGTCACCCAGGCTGGAGTGCAGTGGCACAATCATGGCTTACCACAGTCTTGATCTCCTGGGCTCAAGCCATCCTCCCACCTCAGTCTCATGAGTCCTAGGACTACAAGCATTTACCACCACACCTGCTTGAGACAGAGTTTCACTCTCTCACTGAGGCTGGAGTGCAGTGGCGCAGTCACCGCTGCCACTGCAATCTCCGCCTCCGAGATTCAAGTGATTCTCCTGCCTCAGCCTCCTAAGTAGCTGGGATTTCAGGGGCCCGCCTCCATACCCAGCTAATTTTTCTATTTTTAGTATAGATGGGGTTTTACCATGTTGGCCAGGCTGGTCTCAAACTCCTGACATCAGGTGATCCAACCACCTTGTCCTGGGATTACAGGTGTGAGCCACCACATCTGGCCCCTGGTTGTTTTCCTTTCTTCTTCGTTTTTTTTTGTGAGACAGAGTTTCACTCTTGTTGCCCAGGCTGGCGTGCAATGGTGTGATCTCGGCTCACTGCAAGCTCCGCCTCCTTGGTTCAAGTGATTCTCCTGCCTCAACCTCCCTAGTAGCTGGGATTACAGGCATGTGTCACCACGCTTGGCTAATTTTGTATTTCTAGTAGATACGGGGTTTCTCCATGTTGGTCAGGTTGATCTCGAACTCCTGACCTCAAGTGATCCACCCGCCTTGGCCTCCCAAAGTGCTGGGGATACAGGTGTGAGCCACTGCACCCGGCCTGGTTGTTTTCTTTAAATAATTTTTTGTTGAGACGGGATCTTGCTGTGTTGGTCAGGCTGGTCTCAAACTTCTGGCCTCAAGTGATCCTCCTGCCCTGGCCTCCCAAAGTGCTGGAATCATAGGCGGTGTGTGCAGGAACTGTAACACCATGCTTGCTAATTATTTCTTTTCTAGTTCTTTTTATCATTTTTTTGAGACGAAGTCTCGCTTTGTCGCCATGCTGGAGTGCAGTGGCACAATTTTGGTTCACTGCAACCTCCACCTCCCAGGTTCAAGTGATACTCCTGCCTCAGCCTCCTGAATAGCTGGGAGTATAGGTGTGCCACCCCACACCAAGCTAATTTTAGTAGAGACAGGGTTTCACCATGTTGGCCAGGATGGTCTCGATCTCCTGACCTTGTGATCCATCTACCTCAGCCTCTCAGAGTGCTGGGATTACAGGCATGAACCACCGCACGCGGCCTTTGTTATTTCTTTAGAGCAGTAGAAGAAAGATAGTACTGTCAGTAATGATCTCTTGAGCTCATACTATCAAGTATTATTCTAGATGCTCTATGCTGTGCTTATTTAATCCTCACCAGGCTGTTGTCTGTGAGGTAGGCTTGAGGTTATCCCGGGTTTTCAGGTATGGAAAATGAAGCAGAGAGGTTTAAGGACTTTCCGAAGGTCATGAGACTACCTGGGAGGCAGCATCACCCCCAGCCCTGAGAGTCAGCATAGAGAACTGCGTTCACAAGAGGCACTTGGGTAGAAGCTTGGGGGCTGGGACCTGGGGACCCCATAGCCCTCCTCCTCTTGAGTGATGCCCCTTCCCCTGTGTCTGCATCTCTGACCACAGGTACAAACGCCATGCCAGTCGGGAGGAGGCGGAGCTTGTTCAGCAGATGGCCGCAAACATCAAGGAGCGGCAGAACGTCTTCTTCAACATGGAGGCCTACCTGCCCAAGAAGAACGGGTAGGAGCTGGCAGCCTCCGAGTCCTGCTGCAGTCTGTGCCCAGTTCTAGCCCAGCTGCTCCATATAACTCTCGCCTTCCTGCTAACACTCAGATTGAAGGGGAAGGAGGGACGAAGGGCAGGAGAGAGAAGAAGCCTTCAATATGTATTCCCCTACAAGTCCAGGAGGGGACCCCAGCCACAGCGTGTGACAGCAGCATTCCTGGGAGGGCTGTTGCAAGGAGCCAGCACCTGCCGCATGCCTGGTCCCGCCTGGGGTCAAGAGGGAAGGTTTTCTCTCCCAAGAGAACAGACACGCATTGAGAGCCTCCTGCCGCTCAGTGCTGTGCTAGAAACTCCCGTAATGCCACTGGATTTATCCTCAACAGCCTGTGCATCAGACTAAGGGATCCCCATTTTTTTTTGTTTGAGATGGAGTCTCGCTCTGTCACCCAGGCTGAAGTGCAGTGGCACCATCTCGGCTCACAGCAACCTCCACCTCCCAGGTTCATGCAGTTCTCCTGCCTCAGCCTCCTGAGTAGCTGGGATTACAGGCGCCCACCACCATGCCCAGCTAAGTTTTGTATTTTTATTAGAGACGGGGTTTCACCATATTGGCCAGGCTGGTCTTAAACTCCTGACCATGTGATCTGCCTGCCTCAATCTCCCAAAGTGATGGGATTGCAGGCGTGAGCCACCACGCCCGGCAGGGATCCCCATTTTTACAAGATTCAGAGACATCAGGGAATGTTTGGCCATGCCAGGATGTGAACACCAGACCTTCTGACTCCAAAGCCCACGTTCTTTCCATCTTCCCCCTTCCGAGAAGTCCCTGTTCCCTCCTCAAGTGATGTCATTGCCACCTTGTTCTGGAGAGAGCTCCTTACAGCCTCATATCATCGTGACCTGACATAGGCAGCTGAGCACATCTCATCAGTTCACGGTGACCCTGTTTTCTGGATCAGTCAAGCACTGAGTCAGAGCCACCCACCAGGAGGAGGGGCTTTCTTTCAGGCCCACAGCTGGCAGGTGGGCGCTGGCTAGCCCTGTTACGTTTTAACCCATTGCTCCCAGCTTCTCCTGTTTTACTGTGTTTGGGTAAAGACTCCGCTGGTTAAGTGATGATCATTTTCTGCAGATTGAACAGCAGCCCAGCGTTCAGGACCCACTTACGGTGTCTTGCGAGTCCACCTTCCTGCCCCTCTCTCCCTAGTCATCTGTGCGTCTTACCTCAGTAGGGAATCTTTGGATTGCAAATGATAGAAAATGCAACTCAAGGCTGGGTACAGTGGCTTGTGCCTGTCATCCCAGCACTTCAGGAGGCTGAGGTGGGAGGATCACTTGGGCCCAGAAATTCAAGATCAGCCTGGGCAACATAGTGAGACCCCATCCATACAAAACTTTAACAAAATTGGCATGGTGGTGTGTACCATACAAAACTTTTAACAAAATTGGTATGGTGGTGTGTACCTGTAATCCTAGCTACTTTGGTGACTGAGGCGGGAGGATTGCTTGAGCCTAGGAATTCAACTGCAGTGAGGCTGGGCACAGTGGCTCACGCCTGTAATCCCAGCACTTTGGGAGACCAAGGCAGGCAGACCACTTGAGGTCAGGAGTTCGAGACCAGCCTGGCCAACATGGTGAAACCCCATCTCTACTAAAAATACAAAAATTATCTGGGCACAGTGGCAGGTACCTGTAATCCCAGCTACAGGGGAGGCTAAGGCAGGAGAATCACTTGCATCCAGGAGGCAGAGGTTGCTGTGAGCTGAGATCATGCAGCTGCACTCCATCCTGGGCGACAGAGCAAGACTCTGTCTCAAAAAACAAACAAAAAACTGCAGTGAGCTATGATCTTGCCATTGCACTCTAGCCCAGGTAACAGAGTGACACTCTGTCTCTAAAAATAATAACAATAATGATAATAATGGAAAAATAAAGAAAATTGTTTAAAAATTGACCTAGAGGTTGTACCCAGGCCTCTACCTCATTGGCTATGCTTTGTCACATGCTCACATCTGGCTGCAAGGCAGGCTGGGAAATACAGTCTCTAAGGCAGCAAGGAATGGGAAATCAACTCACACTGTCATGTGTCACAGATGTAATGTCCTCTAGTTAATCATTATTCCCACTCGATGTGGGGCATATTTTCCCACTGAGCTTAGGCCCCTGTCTTCTAACATCAGTGTTTGGGATGTGCTGGTTAAGTGTGTCGAGTTTGAAAGTTGTTGGTTCGCACTCACCTGCTAAGGATCATGCCTCTCACAGGTGTTTCCTTCCAGGCTCTACTTGAACCTGGTCCTCGGCAATGTGAATGTGACCCTCCTCAGCAATCAGGCCAAGTAAGTGTTCCCCACCCCATACCCCATCCCACACCCCAAACTCACACCCTGAACCCCACACCCTATACCCCACCCATACCCCATACCCACAGCTCACACCCCATCCCATACCCTGCCCTATCCCCCCACCCCACCCCATACCCCACAACCTATACCCACACCCACACTCCAAACCCATACCACCCCACACCCCAAACCCACACCCCATGCCCCAGACCCCACCCCACACCCCAGATACCATCCTGCATCTCACATCCACACCCTACCCCCCATTGCCCACACCCCACCCCACATCCCAGACCCCATACCCCAGACTCCATTCCACTCCCCACACCCCCCACTTAGCTCAGAGGCCTCCAGCATTCTGCTTCAGGGAAGATGCATCCCTGCTAGAATTGTTGCATAAATAAAAACCTGTTCACAGGTGGGACTCTGGCTTCTGGAGTGTTTGACGCTCTCCTCCTCTGTAGGTAGAGCACCTGGGAGAGGGTTCCTTCCTTCCTTCCTGTCTCAGAGTCAGTATGTTGAGTGGACAGGACTCCCTAATTCCCACAAGAAATGGCCCTGTTCTGTTCCACACCCAGTCACACACACACTTCTCCTGGGAGATGGGCAGTCCTGTCCACCCTGAATCTACCCCATTTCCAGGCAGCCTCAAACCCTGGCCTTTCAGCAGCAGCAGTTGGTTGAGGGAAGAGACCCTGTCTCTGCTTCCTGCCTGTCTCCAACATGGGCCTAGAGCCCCAGACCAGAGTCCAGGGACACGGAGCCTTCTGCATACTTAGCCCTGTCTGCTCATCGGTCACCACCAATCCGTCAAGGCCAGGTCTCTCCTTTAGTGGGATGGTAAGGCCCTTATGGGCCATGGCTGTGTCCGCAGGTCAAAGGTTCAAGGGTCTGATGGGGCCGCAGGTCAAGGGCTCTGCCCAGGTGGTGGAATAGTCATGGTAAGGAGCCCTCTGCTGGGGTGTCTGTCATGGCAGGTTTGCCTACAAGGATGAGTATGAGAAGTTCAAGCTCTACCTGACCATCATCCTGCTCCTGGGTGCCGTGGCTTGTCGATTCGTCCTTCACTACAGGTAGTGGGTGTGGTGACGTGCGCCTGGGCCCGGGCATGCAGACGTCGGGTGGGGACGGGGAGAGAGGGATCCAGGGGGACCCAGGCTGCTTCTGCTACTGTGTTGTCTGGCATGGTGAGGTATAGGGGAGGGAAGGGCCATTTGTCCTGGGAAGTGCCAGTCCTGTCCACCCCACTTCCATCTACCAAGTGTCTGTTAAACTTCTCCTGGAAAGGCCTTGTATTGTGCTAGTTAGGAAGGAGTTCATTGGCCGGGCGCGGTGGCCCACGCCTGTAATCCCAGCACTTGGGGAGGCTGAGGAGGGCGGGCGGATCATGAGATCAGGAGCTCGAGACCATCCTGGCCAACATGATGAAACCCTATCCTTACTAAAAGTATAGATAGTAGCTGGGTGTGGTGGTGCATGCCTGTATTCCCAGCTACTTGGGAGGCTGAGGCAGGAGAATTGCTTGAACCAGGGAGTCAGAGGTTGTAGTGAGCCAAGATCATGCCACTGCACTCCAGCCTGGTGTCAGAGTGAGACTCTTTCTCAAAAAAAAAAGTAATTAATTGCTGTCTGTCAGTACAGTGGCGTATCATTCAGCCAGAAAGAGAAGTGAAAAGTTGGGCGTGGTAGTTCACACCTGTGATCCCAGTGCTTTGGGAGGCAGGAGGACTACTCTAGGTCAGGAGTTTGAGCTTGGCCTAGGCAACACAGCAAGACCCCGAGCTCTACAAAGATGAAAAATAAAATTCTTTAGCTGGGCACAGTGGCTCACGCCTGTAATCTCAGCACTTTGGGAAGCTGAGGTGGGAGGATTGCTTGAGCCCAGGAGTTCGAGGCTGCAGTGAGCCACAATCACACTAGTGCACTTTAGCACTGGGGACAGACAGAGACCAGGTCTGAACCAAAGAGAGAAATGCAGCACTGTCACTAACCCAGGCTGCAGCACTGATGAGCCTTGAAAACACAGTGCTGATGAAAGAACTAGTCACAAAAGACACACACCAGGATTCCAGTGCTGTGAACTGCCCAGAACAGGCAAACCCATAGAGACAGGGAGGGGAGTCGGTGAGTGGTGGCCAGGGGCTACAGGAGGCAGGAATGAGGGAGTCACTGCTACTGGGTACCAGGTTTCTTTCTGGAGTAATAAAAATGTTCTCCCAGCCTAGCCAACATGATCAAACCCGTCTCTACTGAAAATATAAACATTAGCTTTATGTGGTGGTGGATGCCTGTAGTCCCAGCTACTCGGGAGGCTGAGGCAGGAGAATCACTTGAACCTGGGAGGCAGAGCTTGTAGTGAGCTGAGATTGTGCCACTGCACTCCAGCCTAGACAACTAGACGACAGAGAGAGAGAGAGAGACCCTGTCTCAAAAAAAAAAAAAAGAATGTTCTGGAATTAGGAATGGTTACGATTGCACAACTCTGAATTTACTAAAAATCACTAAATTTTATGCTTTTAAAGAGCAAATTTTATGGTATGTGAATTGTATCAATTACAAAAAAGAAAGAAAAGAAAGAGGAAGAGAAGGGGAGGGGAGGAAGGAAAAGAAAAGGAAAGGAGAGGAGAAGGGAGGAGATGCAGGGGAGCGAGGGGAGGGGAGGGGAGAGACAGTCCAACCTTCCTGGGTTTAAATTCTGGCTTTGAGACTAACTGGCTGTTACTGTGGGCAGGTTCCCTTTGGGAGCCTCAGTCTCTCCATCTGTAAAATGAGGGTGACGGCAGTCCCTACCTCACAGGGCTGTGACAGTTCAGGGAGCTGGCACCGTGTGTGGAATCTCGGCCTGGACGGGCATGCGGAGGCGCTGCTGAGGGCTCCCTGGCTGCTGGTGCTGTCGGAGGTGGGCATGGCCATGCCGTGAGGCTGTGGGCCACTGCTGCCCTGCCTGGAGTGTTTTGTGCTTTTCTCTGGCCCTGGGTCCTCTGTCCCCAGGGAAGCAGCCAAGTACGGCTTAGGGATTTGGCCCACATGCCAAGTGTTTATTGCCTGGCAGGCACATGGCTGGGTGTCCGGCTGCTGCTCTGGCCACTTGAATGCCCAAACAAAGGCTCTTTTAGGCCCTGGGCCCGTGCTCGCCTACTGCCCAGGGCCTGGCCTGTTTCTCCCAGGGCTAAGGCTGCACACATCTGTAATACTTCTCACGTGCCCCCCTCAAAGGGGTAACAGTTGCCAATGTGCAGCCAGAGTCACTTGCGCAGGGACCTCCAGGGCCTTTCCAGGGCAAACCCGTGCTGTCCTGAGGCCCAGGGTTCCCCAAGGCCTGGGTGTCTCCTTTTCTCCCACTAGCTTCTGTGCTCGTCTCCTAGGGCCAGAACGACACACACCCTAACCCTAAGGCTTAAAACAACACATACATGTTCCCACAGTCTGGAAGCCTGCGTTCAGGCCGTGGCAGGGCTATGCTGCTCTGCAGGGTTGGGGGAGGGGGACCCTTCCTTGCCCCTTCAGCTTCTGGGAATTGCACGCGAGCCCTAGTATTGCTCGGCTTGAAGCTGTTCCACTCTCTCCACACGGCCTCCTTCCCTGTGTCTCCACATAACCTTCTTTTGTTTTTTTTTGAGACAGAGTTTCTCTCTGTTGCAGGCTGGAGTGCAGTGGTGCGATCTCAGCTCACTGCAGCCTCTGCCTCCTGGGTTCAAGCAATTCTCCTGCCTCAGCCTCCTGAGTAGCTGGGATTACAGGCGTGTGCCACCACACTCAGCTAATTTTTGTATTTTTAGTAGAGACAGTATTTTCACCATCTTGGCCAGGCTGGTCTCGAACTCCTGACCTCGTAATCCACCAGCCTTGGTCTCCCAAAGTGGTGGGATTACAGGCGTGAGCCACTGCGCCTGGTCTATAAGGACTCTAGACACTGGATTTAGAACCCACCCTACCACAGTATGACCTCATTTTAACTAATTCCATCTACAAAGACCCTGCTTCCAAACAAGGTCGCATTCTGAGGCCCCTTGGACATGAATTTTGGGAGGATGCTATTCAACCCAGTATACCTTCCATAGGCTAAAAATGGAGCAGAGAGGGGGATTGGATGGGCTGCTCATTTCTGTGCCCGTGCTCCCAGGAAGCCGGCCCTGCTGCTTGGGCAAATGACTAACCTCTCTCAGCCTCAGTTTCTTGACAGATACAGTGAGGGCGACAGGAGCTACTTGGAAGGGCAGCTTGGAGGATGGTTAGACTGGTGCCTGTTTAAGTATTAGGACTGGCTGGCATCACTGTTGTTTTGTGCTAAGACTGGGCACACGGGAAAAGGCTCATAGCCAGTGGGACCACCTAGCAGGCTTCTCTTTTCTTCCTCTTTCCCTCCTTGGGATGGTTTCCTGGCTGGACACCCCACCCAGAGGCCCTTCTTGGTACCACCAAGCCTGCAGCTGGGCATGGCCAGAGTCCTCTGGGGTTCTGGGTCGAGCTGTGCCGCTCATGGGCCGTGTGACCTTGAGTGGAGCCCTGGGTGTCTCTGTGCCTGCCTCCTCACCTTTTTCATGGGCTCCAGGACATCTACTCCACCAACACTGCTTGGGTGTTTGGAAGTTTGGTGAGGCAGCAGGAGAGTTGGAAGCCTCCCTCTGCTGCCTTCAGGCCAAGAGGCTGTGCCTGGTTAGGACTGTCTTCGGTCGGGTTTGAACCAGGTTAGGAAAGAGGTAATCGGGTTAAGCTTGGCTTGAGTGGGCTTGGGTCTGGACCTCACTCCAGTGCTAACCATCTGTATGATCTGTAAAATGGGAAGTAGTCCTGTCTTAGTGTGGGTTGGCCTGGAAGAGACCCCAAGGCAAGCATTTTAGTGCCAGTAGTTTATTCAGGAGGTGATCCCAGGAGACACTGGTAAGGGGTGGGAAGTCTCCCGGGTTCAAGCGATTCTCCTGCCTCAGCCTCCTGAGTAGCTGAGATTACAGGCGGGCACTACCACACCCAGCTAATTTTTTGTATTTTTAGTAGAGACAGGGTTTCACCATGTTGGCCAGGCTGGTCTTGAACTCCTGACCTCATGTGATCCATCTGTCTTGGCCTCCCAAAGTGCTGGGATTGCAGGTGGGAGCCACCATGCCTGGCCAAGTCTCCTATTCTTAAAGTCCTTCCATTAACAGCCCACAAGAAATTTCACATCCGACAGGAAGAGTTTAAAAGACAGGTTGCCCTAGGCTGAGTGGTCAGGGAAGGAGGGGGAGACTCAGCTGGAGCTTGAAGCATAGGTGGGACTCAGGGAGAAAGATGAGGGGGTGCAGCGGCATTTGCAGGGGCAGGGGGAAGGCACATAAGACACCAAGCTCCCACTGCCTCCTTGGTGTCACAAGGGCTTCCAGAGAGAGACAGTGCCTGCCGTGGGTAGCCCTTTGCCTGGTTTGCTGCTCTGTGGGGTGAGGGTGGGATGGCCATGCCTGGTTCTCACACCTGCACCCCTCCCTGCTGGGCTGTTTCCTTGCACAGGGTGACCGACGAAGTCTTCAACTTCCTGCTGGTGTGGTATTACTGCACCCTGACCATTCGGGAGAGCATTCTCATCAGCAACGGCTCAAGGTACTTGGGGGCCTGGCTTTGTGGAGAGCACAAGGGGAGTCAAAGTAAAATGTCATGAGGGACATTAGATGGGGGCTGACACCCTCAGGCTGCATTCCTCTTCTCCTTGGGGGTTTGTGACTGTTCAGACCTGGGAAGGCGGGAAACTGCTGCTCCTGATACAGCAGCTCTTGCTTATGATCAGTCTCTTGCTTATGAGCAACAACAGCCCTAACTCAGGCTTAACACAATAAGAAACATATTTTCTTATCAAAAGAAGTGACCCATTGGACTGTCTTCAGGTAAGGCTTGATCCAGGGGCTCTCCATCTCTCACTTCTGCCTTCTGTGTTGTCTTTATCCCAGGCTGTATGTGAGGCACCCAGCAGCTCTAGGCTCACGTCACTATTTCTAGCATTCCCACCAAACAGGGCACATTCCTCTCTTCCAAGACTCCCACTGGGTCCCACTGGCTAGGTCCAGGCAGAGAATGGATCAGGTACCTATCCCCCAACCAGTCACTGTTGCCAGGGAATGCAGTGCTGTGATTGGCCAGGCTTGAGCCTCACATCCACCCTGAGAGCGGTCACTGGGAGTGGAGAGGCTGTGTCGGGTGAGGAATGGTTCCCTAGAAGAAAATTGGGAGACTGCCACTAGGAGGATGGACAGGTTTTGGTGACAAGAGTGGATGGTCCTCCATGGGGAGATGGAGAGGAGAGCAGACAGGTGAAGAGGGTCTTAGGCCAAACCTGTGGATGCTGGGAGGACGGAGGCCAGGCCGAGAGCGTGGCTCCTGCGCTCCAGTCCCAGGGCCCTTGAGGAGCAGCCCTGTGCCCCGGACAAGTCATGTCTCCTCTTTGGACTGTTTCAGAGTCCCATGGGGGAAGGGGTGTGTCAGCGGTGCTGAGTGAGTCTGAGCAAAATGTGGGGGTTCCCTTGGCCCCCATCTCTGAAGGGCTCTGAGTGCCAGAAGCCGTTTTCTCTCAGTCTCCTTCTTGCCCTGCCTGCCTTTACGCTGAGTCTTGAGACCAGTTAAAACCCATGACTTGCCACCTGGAGGACCTATTTTCCAAAAGTCTAATTCTTTTTGGGGATGGCCATTGGAATCTCTGTGCCATTCCTTTTTTTTTTTTTTTTTCGAGGTGGTGTCTTGTTCTGTGGCCCAGGCTGGAGTGTAGTGGCGCCATCTCGGCTCACTGCAACCTCTGCCTCCCAGTTCAAGCGATTCTCCTGCCTCAGCCTCCCAAGTAGCTGGGATTGCAGGTGCCCACCACCACACCCGGCTAATTTTTATATTTTTAGTAGAGACAGGGTTCCACCATGTCGGTCAGACTGGTCTTGAACTCCTGACCTCAGGTGATCCGCCTGCCTCGGCCTCCCAAACTGCTGGGATTATAGGCGTGAGTCGCTGTGCCAGCCAATGTGCCATTCTGGTTTTTGTTATTTCCTGAAACAAAATGTAACAAGCTCCTGTTTCCTCCCTTCTGGAGTATGCCCAGGAGCTGCAGCCCCCACTGCCTAACACGCCACCTTCCCACTTGTTTGCCTGCTGGTTTCTTTTTTTTTTAATCTTAATATTTTATTTATTTATTTATTTTTATAGAGACAGGGTTTCACCATATTGGTCAGACCGGTCTCGAACTCCTGACCTCAGGTGATCCACCGGCCTCAGTCTCCCAAAGTGCTGGGATTACAGGCGTGAGCCACCGCGCCCAGCCTGCCTGCTAGTTTCTTATGGTAGGTCCCTGCCCTGCCGGCTTACCCTGAACATAGAGCCTGGAGGTAAGGACAAGAGCCCCCGCCTGCCTGGCTTCCTGAGGGCAACAGGGAGTCGTCGGTGTGCAGGCTGGGCATGGCGGCTCACGCCTGTAATCCCAGCAGTTTGGGAAGCCGAGGTGGGCGGATCACTTGAGCCCAGGAGTTCGAGACCAGCATGGGCAACATAGTGAGACCTCATCTCTACCCCCCGCCCCCCCAAAAAATAGCTGGGCATGGTGGTGGTGTGTGCCTGTAGTCCCAGCTAGTTGAGAGGCTGAGGCAGGAGAATCACTTGAGCCCAGGAGTTTGAGACCAGCCTGGGCAACATGGCAAGACCCTGTCTTAATTTAAAAATTGAAAAATTAGCCAGGCATGGTGGTGCACACCTGTGGGCCTTGCTACTCAGGAGGCTGAGGTGGGAGGATCACATGAACCCAGGAGGTTGAGGCCACTGCATTCCAGCCTAGGCAAGTGAGACCCTCTCTCAAAAAGAAGAGGCTCAGGGGCATGTGATGCCTCTAGCAATCATTACACTTTAGCAAGAGCTACTCTGGGCAGCTTTTTATTCTAGTATGGCATGCTGTGGATGGTGGGGTGACCAGAGAGATGGGAGCAGCAGTGAGCAGAGGTCCCTCCAGCAAAACAGAGAGGGCGCTAAAGGGGCACAAATGGAGTGCAAAGCCAGTCTCCCCTGCCTCGCAGTTTGCAGGAGCCCTTGGGAAATCCTGGAGGTTGCGCTCTGATGAAGAGCGGGGATGTTTGTCTCTGAGCTTGCAATGCAAAGCTTCGTGTGTGGGTCTGCTCTACCCCATCTGCCATTCATCACACATTTATTGAGCATTTCCTAAGTGCCAGACACTGAACGAAGGACTCCAAGATAACACACTCTGTGTTTTTCCTTTTCTTTTTTTTTCCGAGACAGAGTCTTGCTCTCTTGCCCAGGCTGGAGTGCAGTGGCGAGATCTTGGCTCACTGCAGCCTCTCCCTCCTGGGTTCGAGTGATTCTCCTGCCTCAGCCCCCCGAGTAGCTGGGATTACAGATGCCCACCACCACACCTGGCTAATTTTTGTAGCTTTAGTAAAGACGGGTTTCACCATCTTGGCCAGGCTGATTCAAAGTCCTGACCTCAGGTGATCCGCCACCTCAGCCTTCCAAAGTGCTAGAATTACAGGCATGAGCCACCGCGCCCAGCCCAGAATTTTGTTTACTAAAGTCCTTTTCATGGCAGATAGGTTCAAGGAATCTGAGGTTGCAACGGAACCATTCCTCCAGGCCTGTCTCCCCTTGCTGGCCTGGGGCAGGGGTTTGAATGGGCATGAGGAGTCTGTCTGTCTGGAATGGGGCCTCTGGGCCCAAATAGATGCAAACAGATATGTTATCTTCTATTTAGCTTGGTGCAAAAGTTTTTGTGTTTCACAGTCATTTTTGCACCAACCTAATAAAATGACTACAGGAGCTGGGACCAGCTTGTGGGGGAGGGGACAAGGCAGGTGGGCTGAATCTGAGTGACTCAGACTTGTGACTCATCCTCCACATCTGTTGGAGATTTAGCCTCCGCCCTCCCCCAGCTGCTTCTCAGAGCTGATTGATCCTGGAGGCAGGTGAGGGAGATGCCTTTGAGGCTTCACCTCCTGCTTGGTCCCTTGCCAGAGTAGCTCAGAAGCCCCTGCAGGAGAGCCGTGTGTAGGCGGTGGGAGGTGAGACTGGGATGGGCTCTAGTTTCTCATCCCTGAAGCATCCCCTCAGGGCTGGTGCACAGTCAACACCCCATGGTCTTTGTTGAAGTGAATCAAACCCAAGTTCCTTGATGAGGAAGGGTCCTGGGGCCATAACTGCGTTCTAGAGACAGTGTTGCTGAACCCTACGGGCTTCCTGGGGCCTGCTGTCCTGTTTTGGTCTGATGGAGGTGCTTTTGTCCAGTTCTCATTGCACCTGAGATTTGAATTGGGACAGGAGGTGTGGTCAGGGAAGCAGGTGGGGGTGGGGACTTTCTGATCGGGAGATGAGGCCACCCTTGGTTTATGTCTGGTGCCTGCCAAGTGAGATGCCACTCTTCAGCTCAGCATAATAAGCAAGTCAGCTTCTCTTGGAAACTTGAAAATGCTGGAAACCTGTCCCACAGGGACTAAACCTGAAGGGGTCTTATGGGTGCATATAACTGGGAAGTTCAAGGAGGTCAGGAGGACTCAGGCATCATTCACAGCCCAGTTCCAGCTCCTTATTCCGTTTTCCCCTGTGGTGGCTCCCAGTGGCCCCCAGGTAGGCCTCCCATTAATAGCAACGTCTGGGCCGACAGAACCTCCCTCTACCCCAGCTGGAATCTTGACACAGACTTGATTGGCTAGGCTTGGGTGACCTACTGATCTCCGAGAGCCAGTCACTGTTGTCAGAGGAATGCAGAGAGCCCTCTTTGGTTGGGTGGGGGTCATGTGCTTGGTTATAAGCCTGAGCTTTATCCCAGCCACCCAGACTGAGTGTGGGGGTGAGGTGGTTGTCCACAGGGGCAAAGCAGAGGCTGCCGAACCAGGGTGGGCAGTGATTGGCAACTGGGCAAAACAGCCGATGTCTGTTACAGTTCGTTCTGGGCCAGAACGAATAGACTCAGTGATCATGTTGCCTTTTCTAGGGAGCCCCAGCCTAGGGTGCCTGCTTCTGACTGACTTTTTAGGGGGCTGTCCTTGGACAGACACAAACATAAAAGGGTGACGGGTATAGGAGGGGTCCTCGGTGTAGAAGCCATTCCCCAGCCGTCTAGGTGGCCCAAGGCACAGAGCTGAGAACAGCCTGGGGTTCATAGTGGCGGGTGCACATATCTTCTGCACACTCACAGCCATGCTAATGTGTCCTGAAGGGAGAACTCTACTTTTCTACGTTTTGCAGTTTCCAGATACAGGGACACGCTGTCCCTGTGTCTGGCCGCAGATGCACCTACTCCTGGAGCTCATCAAAAAAGTCCGAGGGCCCCTGCAAGCTTTAACTTCTGTGGTGAAGTGGGCCCGGAGAGCCACTGCAAATGGGTGTAGGTTTTTCTGCGGTGATAAAAAGGTTTCAAAATAGTTTGTGGTGACAGTTGCACAATTCTGTGAATATACTGAAAACCACACAGTTGTACCCTGTGAATGCGTGAATTGTATGGTGTCTAAATTACATCACAATCAGACGGCCATGTACACACATGCACAGAACCAGTCCAGAGCCCAGGGGTGTGCGGATGGATGCCAGGGCTTGTGAATGCTGGGCTGGGGAAGCAGCAATTTCTAGCCTCACCCGATGTCACCGAGCTGTGTTTATTGGTGGCATCTGTCAGAGCGGGGCTCTAGGCACGGCGAGCTGTGAAATGAAAAGCTGCTGCTCAGTCAAGCTTGTTGCCTGGAGTCTGTGTCTGCCTCAGGGTCTTCCTAGACAGGCAGAGGGCATTTCTCTGGGGATCTTCGGGAGCAGGACAAAGGAGTGTGGTGCTTGCCAAGTGCTGAGGGCAGGCACGTGGCTCAGCAGAGCTCTGGGAGGTTGCAGAGACCTCCTGGTTGCTCTTGAGGCTGAAAGTCGGGGACCTGGCAACTGCCTTTGCTGTCAGAAATTTGGAGCCAGAGGTCTTCTTAGACTCTGACAGGCGAGACTAGGATGCGTGGGTGGGGGTGGGGGTTTTCTGGGGACAAAGAAGTAGATGGACATCTTACCCTGTTCCTATGACCTCACGTGGCACCTGCAGCAACTCCTGTCACCTCTGTGCTGGTGGCATCCAGATTAACTGCTTTCACAGCCACACCTCCCAGATGTCATTTGTGTCAACATTTATTGAGTGCCCACTGTTTACCTGGTGCTGTGAATGTGGGAATCCAGAGCCGCATGAAACCTTGCCCTTCCCTGTAACTCCTGGGGAGCACCCAGGCTGATGCTTAAAAAGCCAGTTTATGCCCAGAACTATTGTATGGGCTGTCAAGGGAAGAAGCAAGGCTAAGATGCAGTCTCTGTTCTTACGATGTGTGTGTTCTGGTTGGAAGGTTTTAAGATGGTTCCAACCCACTTACAAGGGAAATACAAATAGAAACCCCAATGACTTGCCAGTTTTCACCTGATAAGTTTCCCAACAATTTTTATTTAAATTAATTTGTTTGTTGGGCTCCCTCTGTAGCCCAAGCTGGAGTGCGGTGACACGACCTCCGCTCACCGCAACCTCGGCCTTCCAGGCTCAAGCAGTTCTCCTGCCTCAGCCTCCCGAGTAGCTGGGACTGTAGGTGCGCAGCCCCACACCCACCGAATTTTTACTTTTTTTTTTTTTTTTTTTCTGGTAGAGATGAGGTTTCGCCATGTTGCCCACGCTGGTCTCAAACTCCGGGGCTCAAGCAGTCTTCCCGCCTCAGCCTCCCAGAGTGCTAGAATTACAGGCATGAGCCACTGTGCCCGGCCAGTTTGGTAGCAGTTTTAAAATATGGCATCCACTTTATATGGTGTGGGTTCTGGGACCCAGATCCTCTCTTCTGCTGCGGATGGAAATGTAAATTGGGATGGGTGCTTGGAGGGTAATTGGACAAGAGACAGGGCACACTTTTTGACCCAGCCACCCTGTCTCCGGTAGCCACTGAGGAGAAACAGGGTCATTTGCATTTAGGAGACTTCCACAGTGATGTCATGACAGCATTGAGAGCAATAGTGACAGTTGAGAAACAGCCAGAGGCCGGGCACGGTGGCTTATGCCTGTAATCCCAGCACTTTGGGAGGCTGAGGCAAGAGGAGGATTGCTTGAGGTCAGGAGTTTGAGACCAGTCTGGTCTAGCAAGACCCTGTCTCTACAAAAAGAAAAAAAACAAGAGAAACAGCCAAGTAGACCATGGCAGAGCCACATCTTGGAATGTCATTTGCCATTTAAGAAGCTGTGACGGGGCTGGATGCATTGGCTCATGCCTCTAATCCCAGCATTTTAGGAAGCCGAAGTGGACAGATCACAAGGTCAGGAGATCGAGACCATCCTGGCCAACATGGTGAAATGCCATATCTACTGAAATACAAAAAATTAGCTGGGCATGATGGTGGGCGCCTGTAGTCCCAGCTACTCAGGAGGCCGAGGCAGGGGAGTTGCTTGAACCCGGGTGGCAGAGGTTGCAGTGAGCTGAAATTGCACCACTGTACTCCAGCCTGGGCAGCAGCAAAACTCGTCTCAAAAAAAAAAGCTGTGACATATCTGTAGGTACTGACCTAGGTGTCAAGCAGGTTCCAGGATGATTTTAGTTAAAAAGAAAGCCCTCTTGGTTCAGCCAAAAAAAAAAAAAAAAAAAAAGCCTGAGGCCAGGCATGATGGCTCACGCCTGTAATCCCAGCACTTTGGGAGGCTGAGGCAGGTGGATCACCTGAGGTCAGGAGTTTGAGACCAGCCTGGCCAACATGGTGAAACCTCGTTTCTACTAAAAATGCAAAAACTAGCTAGGTGTGATGGCAGATGCCTGTAGTCCCAGCTACTTGGGAGGCTGAGGTAGGAGAATTGCTTGAACCCAGAAGGCGGAGGATGCAGTGAGCCAAGATCGCGCCACTGCACTCTAGCCTGGGCGACAGAGTGAGACTCTGTCTCAAAAACAAAAAGAAAGAAAGAAAGCCTAATCCAGTATCTCCCTCTTCGAACCAACTTGCCCCTGAGCAGATCCTCAGGGTTCCCCCATTAGTGAGTGGACCCATTTCTCTGCCCAATCCCAAGAGAGTTCTGGAGGGATGAAAGTTAACAGCTGTTCCCACGGGCATCCCCAGCCTCCACCACCCAGTCCTGGGGAGGAGGGAACTGGCCGCTCCTGGGTGCATTTGGCAAGTTGCTGCCACGTGTTTGGACAAGAGGAGCCCGGGAGGCCAGCCAAGGCCTGAGACACACTCTGGGATGTTAAAGGGCACAGGGTTGAGGGTCCAACTCCTTTCTTCTTAGGCTGCCCCTGACACTGGGGATGGGGGTGACAGCCAGGCTCTACTGACTGTGGATCAAGAGCCCCCAGCTGGGGGAGCACTGAGTTCTGGAAACAGGGTCCCCACAGCCTCTGGACTGGACAGGTGAAGTCCAGGGCTGTGTGAGGGCCTCCTGTCCCTGAGATGGCAGGAGATGGGCCTGGGTGTGTGGCTTCTGGGGAGAAGCTGCCTCTGAGATGGTGTGAGCTGCTGCATGTGGCGTCCACCAGCCTCTGCTTCTGTATAGGGCAATATCGCAGCTACAGTCCTGTATAAGAGTGTGTGGCCAGGCACAGTGGTTCACAACTATAATCCCAGCACTTTGGAAGGCCAAGGTGAGAGGATTGTTTCAGCCCAGGAGTTTGAGACCAGTCGGGGCAATATAGCAAGACCCCGTCTCTTAAAAAAAAAAAATAGCTGGGTGTGGTGGCACACACCTGTGATCCCAGTTACTTAGGAGGGTGAGGTGGGAGGATGGAGGATTGCTTGTCCTGGGAGGTCAGGGCTACAGTGAGCCCTGATTGTAGTGGCACTCCAGACAGGGTGACAGAGCAAGACCCTGTCTAGAAAGAGAGTGTGTGTGTGTACGTGTGTGCTTATTCAGCACATTTATTGAGCAGCTGCTTGGAACCCAAGGTCACAGAAAGATTGGTGAACAACAGTGATAAGACCCCTGCTCAATCTGGAGGTGACACATGGGTGGGAAAGGGGGCTGATAACAGGAAGAAAGGTAGGTAATTGCTGACGGTGGTCCGTGTCATGGAGCTGACGCGGGGCAGTATGATCCGAGACGGGCCATCGGGCTTGTTCAGATAAGGCAGTCAGGGGGCCTTTGCGAGGTGACAGCTGGTCTGAAGCTTGAACTTGGACTGGGAGCCAGGCAGACTGAGGTCCTGGAACAGAGGGGGCAGCAAGTCCGAAGGCCCTGAGCGAGCCTGCTGGGTGTAGCTGTAGGAAATACCACCCACCGGGCGTCCTAAACCACCGAGCATATCTCCTCGCAGTTCGGCGGCTGGAAGCCTAGGAGGGATGTGCTGGCAGGGCTGGTCTCTCCAGAGACCACTCTCTGTGGCTTGCAGGTGGCGCCTTCCCATGTGTCCTCATGTGGCCTTTTCTCTGTGCACGAACAGCCCTGGCGTCTCTCCCCCTTCTTGAAGAGACACAGTCACCCTGGACTCTGGCCCACCTGCGTGGCCTTGTTTTACCTCAGTCCCCTCTTTAAAGGTCCTGTCTTCAAATACGATCACGGACATTAAGGTGCTGGGTGGCTCAGCTTCAGCACAGGAATTGGGGCCACTATTCAGTCTGTGGCAAGCCCTGAGGGGGTGGCAGGCAGGCTTGGCGGGCTCCAGGAGAGCCCACGTGCCTGAAGCATCCTCGTGCTGGGGAGAGGACCTGGTGGGGAGGACAGGAGTGAGGCTTGAAGGCGGGTGAGGGCAGGGGTGTGTTCTGAGGATCGCTGGAAGCCCAAGTAGGAGTCCGGGCTAATCTGGGGTGTGTTCTGAGGATCGCTGGAAGCCCAAGTGGGAGTCCGGGCTAATCTAAAGCTGGTTTGTGTGGGATGGTGCGGCCCTGTGGGACAGCAAGAAGGGCAAAGTCGTGGCTCGGGTCCGTTTCTTACTCCAAGAAGCCATCTCTGAGTGCAGAGAGCCCCTGCTGCCTAGACCGGTCCTCGGCAACACACGCCCATGTCCCTGTCCCTGCCTGAGTGCCTTCTGTTCTCTCCCCTCTCCCGAGAATTAAAGGCTGGTGGGTGTCTCACCACTACGTCTCCACGTTCCTGTCCGGGGTGATGCTGACCTGGTGAGTAGCCCCTCGCTGGGCGCCTCCAGCCTCCTGGGAGTAGAGCCTGGGGCCTGGGAATGGGGCCGGGGGACTGATCCAGATGGCAGTGGGGGACCTCCACGGCCAATTTTGGAAAGAAAGTATGAGCCTGCAGCTGGCCAGACGCTGGGCTGTGTGGCCCACCCAGCCCATGAAGGGGTTTTTCAGGGAATGTTTTCGGGTGCCCCTGAGAGCAGAGGTGGCCGGGGCTGCAAGGCTTGAGGGAGCGAGTGAGGCTGGGCACTGGAGGAGACCACGGAGGACAGCTGGGTCACGGAGAGTCAGCGCCTCCGAATGGCCATGGGACTCCTGGGATTCTAAAGGGGAAGATGGGCATGACCTCGCCCAGCCCCTGGGATAGGAGGGCAGGAGTCAGGCCTCCATTTGACTTGGTATCCACCTTTCCCCTCTCCTGGTGGGAATGGAGTCGGGCGGGGAGGAATGTCTGACTTGACAGTGGCCACACCTTTGTTTTTTCCTACCTTCTCTCCAGGCCTAATGGACTCATTTATCAGAAGTTTCGAAACCAGTTTTTAGCATTTTCCATTTTTCAGAGTGAGTGACTCGCCTGGATTTGGGGGAGGGAACACAGTTTTCTGAGACTTTGACCAAGGGAGGCCCCCAGTTCACATCAGTGCTTGCCTGTGTGGCAGAGAGACCAGACTTGGGGAGAGGGTCCCAGAAATCCAGAGAGAGAGAGCTGTCCCTGCCCCAGGTCCAGCCACCTCCCAGCCCCCAGCACTTCCCCAGGCTGGAACCTGCCAACTGTGATTTTTGAGAACGGAGTAGCATTGCGGCACCAGCCTTTCCCAGTCCTAGCTAAGTCCTCCAAATGGAAATCTACATTATTTTTCTCATCGGAGAATCGCTCTGGATTTGTATCCAAGGGCTGCCTCTGGGGTGGGGAGCTTGGATGGCTGGGGACAGGGAGAGAGTTCTACTTTTCACCAACCCATTCATTCCTGTTAAATTTAGCGACAACGAAGTATCCCGTTGGATGGACGATCTCTTGTGTCTTAGCGTAGCACACAGCTCCCAACACAGCGCTTGAGTAGCTTGCACTCCAGCAAGCATCTATTATAGAGTGTCTACTGCATGGAAAATTCCAGAAGTTTCTAATCTAGTTGGGGCTCAGATGGGTCCTCAGCTACCTGAGCTTTGTGTTCTGGATACAGGATAAAGCAGGTTCAGACCAAAGGGGGTGTGTGTGTGTGTATGTGTCTGTGTGTGGGTGCGTGTGTCTGTGGGTGTGTGGGTGTGTCTGGCTGCATCTGTGTGTGGGTGTGTTCATCTGTTGGTGCATATAAGTGGGTGTATAGGTGTGTGTGGGTACATGGGTTTGCATGGGTATGTGTGTGTGTTTAGGTGCGTGTCTGGGTGTGTATCTGTGTGTATGTATCTGTGTCTGTGGGAGTGTGTGTCTGTGTGTGTGTGGTGTGTTGGGCATGGGAGAGAGTTGTAACCAGGGCACTCTATCTGCCCTCTGCCCAGTAAAGACCCACCAGCCTACACTTGGGGCAGAGAAGAGGTATTGCCCTGTCTTCCAGGGACACCAGGCCCTGAGCCTGGGCACTGTGCTCCCCCTGCAGGCTGCGTCCAGTTCCTGCAATATTATTACCAGAGGGGCTGCCTCTACCGGCTTCGGGCCCTGGGGGAGAGGAACCACCTGGATCTCACGGTGGGTGAGTAGCTGGGCCTGGGTTGGAGCGGGGGCAGGCGCTGGACCCTGCAGGCACCTCCCATGCAGCGGAGCCAGGCCACTGCCTTTATCTGAGGCGCCTTCCAGAATTCATCCTGGATCCTGTTTCAGCTGCCAAGTTCCAGGCCAGCCGCGTGCCAGGCCCTGAGGCCAGGCCTCTGTCTCAGCCTCTGGAAGTGTCTATTTTGTGTGTGTGTTTTAGAATATACACACAATTAGTCTTGTGCTGGTTGTACATATTGTGTTTAACGTGTCTACATACCAGTACGTGTAAGTATAGAAACGCATGTACTATACATGTTCATTCTTAAGCCATAGGGGTGGCGGTCAGAAAAGTGAGGAGGCCCCCTCATCAAGAATTTCAGGGCAAACTGTTTAATACAACTCTGCTTTTTTTTTTTTTTTTTTTTGAGACAGAGTCTGTTGCCCAGGCTGCTGTGCAGTAGCATGATCTCAGCTCACTGCAACCTCTGCCTCCTGGGTTCAAATGATTTCTCCTGCCTCAGCCTCCCGAGTAGCTGAGATTACAAGGCACTGGCCACCACGCCCGGCTAATTTTTGTATTTTTAGTAGAGATGGGGTTTCACCATGTTGGCCAGTCTGGTCTCGAACTCCTGGAATCAAGTGATCTCCCCACCTCAGCCTCCCAAAGTGCTGGGATTCCAGGCGGGAGCTACCCGCCCGGCCCGCTATCTTTTGAGATAGTCATTGCCATCAAATTACTCTGCTAAGTAGGTCCTCCTGTGTCAAGACTCAGTGGAAATGAAGCAGGTGCACTATCATTATAAAATGCAAAACCTTGCAGATGAAAGGAATTAGTAGCCGCGTAGCGCCTGGAGTCTGTGAGTGTTGTCAGGTCCACCTGGCTCTTGGTGGCTTAAGGAGTGAGAGCAGTCAGGCCGGGTGATGGGGCTGCTACTGTCACAGTGAATGCCCAACCAGCTATAACAGGCAAGAGCTGTCCCCCCTATGTGTGACTGTGTCTGGTTCATCTTAGGGTGACTGGCATGGCTGGGGGTGGGTGCCTGGTGGGGCTGTGGGGGCAGTGGAGCCCCTCAGTGGGTCCTTTTTCTTCCCTTCTCTCCACAGAAGGGTTCCAGTCCTGGATGTGGCGGGGCCTGACCTTCCTCCTGCCCTTCCTCTTCTGTGGCCATGTGAGTCTCCATGGACTTTGTGGGCGTCTCCTGTCTGGGCTGGCCCCTGGGAAAAGAAGGTCTTCAGGCCTGACCCTCCTTCTCCAGCCATCCCCATTCCGGGCCCCACAGCGTCCTCTCAGCCCAGCAGTGCTGAGGCAGGAGCCAGAACCGGCCCAGCAACTGCCCTGGCCTTGGGTGCCTGCATTTCATTTTGGGGGGTGTCTGTCAGTGTTGGGGGTGGTTGATACCCACAGTTGTCGGGGGGCTGGCCTGACCTGGGAGCCTGGTGGGTGAGCAGTGCCTGCCTTCCTCTCTCTAGTTCTGGCAGCTCTATAATGCCGTCACGCTGTTTGAGCTCTCCACCCACGAGGAATGCAGAGAATGGCAGGTATGGGGGGTAGGGAGGGTGGGGGCAGGCTGTGGAGAGGTTCCTGGGAGGGCTGGCGTGGCAGGGATGGGGTGTGTGTGTGTGTGTGTGGTGTGTTGGGGTGGCAGGGAGGGAGTGTGTGTGTGTGTGTGGTGATGGGGTGCAGGTTCCTGGGAGGGCTGGGGTGGCAGGTGTGGGGGATGTGTGTGTGTGTGTGTGTGTGTGTGTGTGTGTGGTGTGCTGGGGTGCAGGTTCCTGGGAGGGCTGGGGTGGCAGGGAGGGAGTGTGTGTGTGTGTATGTGTGTGTGGTGCTGGGGTGCGGGTTCCTGGGAGGGTTGGGGTGGCAGGTGTGGGGGGTGTGTGTGTGTGTGTGTGTGTGTGTGTGTGGTGTACTGGGGTGCAGGTTCCTGGGAGGGCTGGGGTGGCAGGGAGGGAGTGTGTGTGTGTGTATGTGTGTGTGGTGCTGGGGTGCAGGTTCCTGGGAATGCTGGGGTGGCAGGTGTGGGGGTGGGTGTGTGTATGTATGTGGGGTGCTTGGGTGGGAGGTTCCAAGGTTCCTGGAAGGGCTGGGGCTGGAGCCTCCCTCCGATGTTGGGATCCCAAGGAGGTCCACCCTGTAGAGCCCTTTCTAGGCCCTGCCCAAGCCTGAGCCTCGCCCCTCCCCCATTGCCTGAATCTCTGCCTTTGCTAGCAAACGCCTGCAGTTTGGGAGTTTGGGGATAGCTGCTGGAGGTGCTGGGGGCAGGGGTTCAGCAGGGCAGATGCTTTGGACTCCCTCCTCTCTGGACTCCCCCAGGTGTTCGTGCTGGCGCTCACCTTCCTCATCCTCTTCCTCGGCAACTTCCTGACCACGCTCAAAGTGGTGCATGCCAAGCTCCGGAAGAACAGAGGCAAGACAGAGCGGCCCTGAGCTCTGGGCTCCTGCACCCTGGGGCCGGACTTTAGACTGCCGGGGCTGCTGCGCTCCTCCCCAGCAGCCACCTCAGGCCTGTGGCATCGCTGGGAGAGAGCCCAGGCCCCGATCCCCCAAAGGACGAGAGGAATGTGAGCCCCGCCTGTCTGCACAGTGTTCGCCTATTTATAACATATTTAATGCCGGGTCCCCCATCATCCCTGGAACCCAGGCCAGTCTTCCTGGGGATGGGTCTGAAGCCTCAGGTAGCCCCTCTGTTCCCACTCTCGTCATTTGAACCCCTGTGGGTGGGGTTTGGATGTGCCTCTCGAGGTTGGATTTTATGCTGACCTGCTACTTACCAGGCCCAGGCTGAGGTGGCCTGAACCCTCAGCGCCCTTTGGCGCCCCCGTCTCGGGGCCACTCTGCTTCTGCTGTGAGCCCTCCTCACCCACCCGCCTCATGGTGGGGGTTATTTAAGTTCTCAGAGACCCACTGCGTCTGCCTCATGCTCTTCTTGCCCCTGGAAGCTCTGGGGGGCGTCCTGAGTCAGGATGTGAGCAGAGTCGCCGCCAGAGGGCGTCCCGGGCCGTCCAAGGGAACAAGGACGTTCCTGTCCACACTTCAGGATTCCCTGACCTCCCATCTTGCAGCCTTCCTGCAGTCTTGCGACGGGTACTTGGGGAGTGGGACCAAGACCCTTGGACCCTGTGGAAGAGTCCCACCTCGCCCCTTTTTCCTGGAGGTTCTGGATGTTTTGGGGGGGAGGTATGGAGGCCCTGGCAGGCTCACCCCCAGGGGGCGAACCCTGACACTGGGCCAGAGCCACTGGGCACCACTTGGGTGAGACTGCATTTGATGTGAGGTGGAGAGGCCACCAGGCATATGGGCCTCAGCTGCCCCTAAGCAGGTCCCTACAAATCCCAAGGCCAGACATCAAGCAGTGCACACAGGCATGCCTTGTTTAGCCCTCCCCAAGGAATTTTAATTTTTTTTTTCTTTTTTTTTTTTTTGGAGACAGGGTCTCGCTCTGTCGCCCAGGCTGGAGTGCAGTGGCGCAATCTCGGCTCACTGCAGCCTCCACCTTCTGGGTTCAAGCAATTCTCTTGCCTCAGCCTCCCGAGTATCTGGGAATACAGGTGCCTGCCACCACACTCAGCTAATTTTTGTATTGTTAGTAGAGATGGGGTTTCACCATGTTGGCCAGGATGGTCTCGATCTATAGACCTTGTGATCTGCCTGCCTCAGCCTCCCAAAGTGGTGGGATTACAGGCATGAGCCACTGCGCCCGGCCACCCTGCTACTTTTTAATATTTTTAGTAGAGATGGGGTCTCGCTATGTTGCCCAAGCTAGTCTCCAACTCATGGGTTCAAGTGATCCTCCTGTCTTGGCTTTCCAAAGTGCTGGGATTACAGGTGTGAGCCACTGTGCCTGGCCTGATTACATTTTTTAAATGAGATTTCCCCTCCCCCGCAGTGAGATTTCACATACAAATCCAGGTTTCTGCTTTCCCTAGAAAAATGGACCTGGCAACATTCCCATGGCGGGGGCGCCTGCTCTCCAGTCACCATAGGCGACTGTGTGCCTTGCCCTTCGTTCTGGTCTCCTTTCTGGCCCTTTTTAGGTGCCTACCTTTGCCCTAGATTAGGAGTCAGCTAGCTGTCTGTAAATGGCAGATGGCAACTATTTTAAGCTTTATGGGCCAGGGGGTCTATGTGGCAGCTACTCTTGCCTGCAGTCACAGAGCACAAGGCAATGCTCAAAAGAATAGGTGTGGCTGTGTTCCAATAAAACTTTATTTACAAATCAGCCTGTGGCCAGATGTGGCCCATAGGCTGTAGTTTGCAGACCTCTACCTTAGACCATCGTTTGTCCATGAGGCCTTGGATTCTTGAGAACAAGAGCTCCTTGGTTGATTCCCCAGGGGATGGCAGGGCCTTGGGAACCTGGGTAAGGTGGGCCTCAGGGGGCTGAGGCAGGAGATACCAGGAAGAACAGGAGCCGCATCCCGTCCTAGACGACAGCAATTCCTAGGTGCACTCCAGAGGCGAGCAGCTTGCGACCTGTGTTGGGCAATAGAATCGAATCCCCTGGGATGCTTGTTTAAAAAGTTGTGCACAGTGGCTCACACCTGTAATCCCAGCACTTTGGGAGCCTGAGGTGGGTGGATCATGTCAGGAGTTCAAGACCAGCCTGACCAACATGGTGAAACCCCATCTGTAATAAAAATACAAAAATTAGCCAGGCATGGTGGCATGTGCCTGTAATCCCAGCTACTCAGGAGGCTGAGGCAGGAGAATTGCTTAAACCCCGGGAAGTGGAGGTTTCAGTGAGCCAAGATGACACCACTGCACTCCAGCCTTGGTAACAGCCTCCAAAAAACTCCTGGACCCTTGACCCCAGACCTTCCCAAAGGAGGCTTAGGGATTAGGTATCTGGCTGTTGGTGACACAGGTGGTCTGTGAACCAGTTCTGAAACTGTCCCATGTGGGCTGGGAGTTGATTCTGTTAGTTCTCAGAGGAGGCTTGGATGTCTTGCCTCCTGGACTCCACAGGCTGGTAGAAGCGAGCCTTGAGGAACAGCAGGTGGGAGCCTGATGATAGTTAAGTGGGCCAGTCCTGTCCTGCCAGTAGGGGGAACAGCCCACAGAAAACTAGCTCACGACGTGGGGAGCCAATGGCTCTTCCCATCCTGAGTCCCTGACAGTGGGGTCTTTGGATGAGACTTGGAGGGTGTGGTCAGATGGGGGGGTCCAGGTATACTTTTAACATCTGAGAGGCCATTTCGTCTGCCCCCTGGGCACATGCTCCCAGCTCTCCGAGGGCCACAGGCCAAGCTGAAGGTTGAAGTCTTCCATATGGAATGGAGATGGGAGGGGTTGGTGCCAGCCCCGCCACCAGGCTGCAGCCTGTGTTCTCCTGATAGGCCCGGTCCCCGCGGTGGCCCCCCGAGTTCCTGGGGGAGGAAGGAAGGAGCTGGAGGTTGCAGCGGTGCCTATCTCCAGAGCCCAGGGAGGCAGGGACATAGGAGAGGCAGGCTTGGGTGCCTGCGTGGAATAGTGCCAGGTCCACATTTACCAACCACCAGATGGACTGTTCATTCTAAGCATAACTTGGGTTTGCACTGGGGAGACCCTCGTGGCGGGGGCAGCTGTGATGAGGGCACTTTGAGTCCTGAGGACAGACACTGGCTCCTGTACCCACATCACCACTGCACCCCAGTGGGGAGCCTGGAGGGGAGTTTGTGGTCAGAGCCCCAGTCAGGAAAGGAGAGAGTTCTTGAATGTTCCAAGAGTCTAGCCACAGGCCCCAGACAACAGGAGCTGGAGGGTTGGGATGGGGCGGCCTCCCAGTTCAGTTGGCCCCTGGGGTCCCGGGCCCTGTCAGTGCTGTCTTGAGGGCCGTCTGCCCTGGGTCACAGCAACAGGCAGAGCCGGCGCTTCTTTTGCCGCTGTGTTTTCTTCAGAGCACTGAGAGCCACCTTGGCCGCCTCCCGGAAGACGTCCTCCACATTCTCCCGAAACTTGGCGGAACATTCCAGGTAGAGAGCAGCTCGGATCTGTTCGCAGGCGCTCAGGCCCTGGGTTGGGGAGGAGCCAGTGTTAGCTGAGGGGCCCCTGGAGGTCTCCTGACACCACCGCGTGGGTTTGGGGCTGACCCACCCTGTCCTCTCTCCAGCTCCAGGCAGGGAGGGGCTGAACCCTGAGACTGGGTGGGTTCCCCATGTGTGTCTCCCAAGCCTGTGAGAAGAGGTGGAGGTCTCCAGACAGGACTTGCAGCCACCTCTCTCCCGTCTCTGAAAATACCATTTAGGGAAATGAATTTGCCCTCATTAATAGTTTTTACTTCTTGTGACGGTTCTTGTTGCCTTTGTATTCCTTTTATCCTGTTTGTTCCCTCATGCCTCATCTAAAGAGTTGCACGGTTGATTGGCCCATGAAGGGGACGCCTACTTTCACACAAGGGCGGACAGGACAGGACAGTGGCTCAGAGCACAGACTGTGGAGCCCAGCGGATGGGGCCGGATTCTGGCTCCACTTCTGGCTAGCTCTGTGGCCTTGGGTAAGCTGTTTAACCTCTCTGGGCCTGTTTATCCCCTGTAATGGGGGATGTGAACAGCATCTGCCTCTGAGTCCTGAGGATTGAGAGTAGTCATGTAAAGTGCTCAGGTCCACAGGCCACCAATACTAGTATTTAAAAATTATCATTCTTGATCGGGTGCGGTGGCTTGTGCCTGTAATCCCAGCACTTTGGGAGACCGAGGTGGGCAGACCAGTTGAGGTCAGGAGTTCGAAACCAGCCTGACCAACATAGTGAAACCCCCCTCTCTACTAAAAATACAAAAATGAGCTGGGTGTGGTAGCAGGTGCATGTAATCCCAGCTACTCGGGAGACTGAGGCAGGAGAATTGCTTGAACCCAGAATGCTGAGGTTGCAGTGAGCCAAGATCATACCACTGCACTCCAGCCTGGGTGACAAGAGCAAGACTCCATCTCAAAAGTAAAAAAATTATCATTCTTAGAATCTTGCTTCCCTCAGCTCCCCGAAAGGCCGCTAAGGCAACCCAGTTGCAGAGGCCAAAGGTCCGGGAGGCTTTGGAGGTGCAGCCATGTCACGGAATCTTGGCCTCTGGCCCACCTGCATGTAGGTGATGGGCTCCAGCTGGGCGGCCCGGAGCTTCCGCAGCTGCTCCTTGTCCTTCCTCAGGTCCGTCTTGCAGCCGATGAGCACCATTGGGGTCCCACGGCAGAAATGCGTGACCTCAGGGAACCACTGTGGAGGGAGAAGGCAGGGGATCAGGGCTGCGGCTGGGCCCAGGTCTGGGGCCACCATCCTGGAGGCCTCACCTTGATGAGGACGTTGTCATAGCTGGTGGGGTTCATGACGTCATAGCAGATGAGCACGAGGTGGGTGTTCTGGTAGGACAGGGGCCGCAGCCGGTCATAGTCTTCTTGCCCTGAAAGCAGAGAGCAGGTGGGGGTCAGGGGCGTCCCCTCCCTGTCTGGACTCTGATGGGAGAAGGGGGAGGGGCCAGGCAAGTGACCCTGCCTTAGGGCCTCAATTTCCTCATCTTCATAATGGGCAACAAACCGGGAGTGGTGTCACAGGCCTGTGGTCCCAGCTACTCAGGAGGCTGAGGCTGGAGGATCCTTTGAGCTGAGGAGTTTGAGGCTATAGTGAGCCGTGATCATATTACTGCACTCCAGCATGAGTGACAGACCGAGACTCTGCCTCTTAACAACAACAAAACCTGTGGGTGGCAACCCCTGGGTTCTGGATGGTGGCAAAGAACCCTTGAGATCAAACCCACGCAGTGCTGAGAGCTGGGCCTGATTCTAGGGCTGGGGCTGGAGAAACTGCTAACGCTGGATGATGCCGGCAGCCAGTATGATCCCCCTGACTTACACTCGAGCAGAGCGAAGACTGGAACCCTCCCCTAGCCAAAGATATAGAGCTGTGGGGCTGGTGGGCTCACGGTGTCCCCAGTCCCCAGAGGCTGGTGTCTGGCTTCAGCCTCCAGCTTCTTTGGTTCTGATACAGTCGGCTGAGTTCCCTGTCCGTTCTTACAAGCACTAGGAGGAGGGTGGTGGGTTGCTGGGAACAGCATCAAGCGCCCTCCCCACCCAGACCCGCACAGCACATTCTCGGGGGGATACCTTAATCCTGATGCCTGGCCCCACCCCAGCACGGCTGAATCTAAACAGGGATCTAGGCTTAAGCCTTGAGCTTGGTTGGGTTTTCATTTTTTATAAACAATTCTTTGTAACTTTTTATATTGACAGTTTCAAACTCACAGTAGAATTGCAACAAAGTGCAAAGAGCTCTGATTCACCACCTGCTTGCATGGCCCCTCTGGCTTTACCCAGAGACAGATGGTTCTGTCCCTCCCTACCAGGCACCGTCGCTGCAGACGTTCTGCCTCTTCACCCCTTACTCAGTGCCTGTCTGCTGAGAACAAGGACATTCTCTCACCTGCCCCAAGCCCAGGAAACCACAGACTCTGCATTCTAATCCAGTCCACAGCCCATATTCAGATATTGCCCATTTCACCAATATCGTCCTTGATTTTCTTTCCCCTTTAAGGAGCCAGCCCAGGGTTCTATACTGCATTTAGTCATCATGTTCGGGTATTTTGTAAAAATCCCCACAGTGAGAACTGAGAGCCCCCTGCCCCTTGACTTCCTTCCACTGAACAAGAAAGGTTGGAGGCCCAGGAATCCCCCTGCCCTGTCCCCAGCTGCTATAGGTGCTGGGTGGCACCAGCTTGCCCTCAGCTCCTTCCCTGCCAATACCTCTCAGGACAAGTGGCTTCTCCACAGAACACCACCAGGCCATGTTTGCTCCTGTCCGCTTGCTGGTGACGACACAGACACCCTTTCCCCACTGGCCCCCCCCAACCCAGGGACCTCCAAAAGTTCTTAGCTCCACCACAGAACAGTGTTTAAGGGTGTAGTCACTAGAGGCAGATGAGACCTCTGTTCTAGTCCCAGCTCTGCCCTCACCAGCTGTGTGACCTTGACTTAGATAGGACAGCGGTGGGAACCCCAGATTCCTCACCTGGAACATGAAAATCATAAAATGTACCTCTCAGGGCTGTCACCAGCCAAGGCACCCCACACATGGGGGCCATAACAGTGTGCAGTGAACAGAAGCCACCAGGACAGTGATGGCTGGGTCAGGAGGGCCATTCACGCCAACTCTCAGCCAGTGTCCCCTGACATTGGGGCAGGGCAAGGGCTCAGACCTGATACCCCCCCCCCCCCACAATGTGAGAGACGTCCTTGTAAGACACTGGGAAGCTGGCCAGGATGCTTTCCCATCTCCTTTTCTGTCCCCAACTGTCCCTTCTTGGTAATCGCTGTCCACATCTTAGATCTGTGCTGTCCAACAGGGTAGCTACCAGCCCATTAATTAATTTGATGAATTAACATGAAGCATTCAGCTCCTCAGTTGCATGAGCTACATTTCAGGTGCCACCCGGGGCTCATGGCTAATGCAATGGTCGGTGCAGGTGCACGGCATTTCCACCACTGCAGAAAGTTCCCCCGCTCCCCCCCCCCCCCCCCCCCCGACCAACACCATTCTCATCTAAGTCCTTGTCTGTCCCTCTTCCCTGGCCTCCTGCAGCCCTTCAATGAATCCATTCACCACCTGAGAGCTAGATGGATCTTAAAACACAAGTCATTTCCGCTCCCCACAGCTGAAGCACCATCAATGGCTCCCTACTGCCCCCCGCCCCCGCTTTCTTTTTGAGACAGAGTCTTGCTCTGTCACCCAGGCTGGAGTGCAGTGGCAGGATCTTGGCTCACTGCAACCTCCACTTCCCAGGTTCAAGCTCCTGCCTCAGCCTCCCAAGTAGTTGGGATTACAGGCACCTGCCACCAAGCCCGGCTAATTTTTGTATTTTTTTAGTACAGATGGGGTCTCACCATATTGGTCAAGCTGGTCTTGAACTCCTGACCTCAGGTGATCCGCCTGCCTTGGCCTCCCAAAGTGCTGGGATTACAGGCGTGAGTCACCATGTCCAGCCTCTATTGCCCTTTGCATAAAATCCAAATATCTCCCCAGGTCCACATGACTTCATCTCTGCTACGCCCCCTTGCTCACTGCAGTCCAGCCAAGGCACCACCTCACCATTTCTCAAACCCATCAAGCTCTCACGCCCCAGCCTTTGTGCTTGCTGTTCCACATGCCTGAAAGGTTCTTCCCTAACTTTTTTTCACCATTTTCTCCCCAGCATTTTATTCTTAAACATCCAGACTAACCATTACATGATTTCTCGTTTTAGGGTAACTGCCTGCCCTCTGTATCTGCTTTTATAATAATACATCCTATGCTCTATGTAGTTTTCAGAGTGCTTTAGTCTATAAATGATTAAGAAATCCTTGGCTGGGCGACATGCCTCGTGCCTGTAATCCCAGCACTTTGGGAGGCTGAAATGGGCAGATCACAAGGTCAGGAGTTCGAGACCAGCCTGGCCAACATGATGAAACCCTGTCTCTACTAAAAATATAAAAATTAGTTGGGTGTGGGTGGCGGATGCCAGTAATCCCAGCTATGCAGGAGGCTGAAGCAGGAGAATAGCTTGAACCTGGGAGGTGGAGGTGGCAGTGAGCCAAGACAGAGCCATTGCACACAGCGAGACTCCGTCTAAAAAAAAAAAAAAAAAAAAAAATCCTTACATGACAGCCAGATATGGTAGGGAAATTATTAATACTCCCACTTCATAGGAAGAAACAGAGTCACAGAAATGAAGTGAGTTGCTTGAGGTCCATGACTCAGTGACTGGCCCAGGAGTCAGCCCCAGTTCATGAAATTCCAAGTGGGATGTTCCTTCTGTGAATACACACGAACGTGCTATTTTGTTTTGTATTGTGCAAAAATAGGTTCTGGGTCTTTAAGATGTAACAATGGGGTTCATAGTTCTGGCATAACATAGTCCCTTTTCCAAATGTGGCCGGCGAGCAGGTCCAGTAGTCCCCCCGCTAACCCATGAGGGTGGACTCCAAGACCCCAGTGGAAGTACGAAACCACGGATGGCCTAGAACCCTAGATACACTGTTTTTGTCTATACATACACGCCTATAAAACAGCTTAGTTTATGAATTAGGCACAGTAACAGATTAACAATAACAATAATAAAACAGGGCCAGGCCCCGTGGCTCCCACCTGTAATCCCAACACTTTGGGAGGCCAAGGTGGGCGGATCGCTTGAACTCAGGAGTTCGAGACCAGCCTGACCAACAGAGTGAGGCCCCATCTCTACCCAGAACACAAATAATTAGCCCGTGGTGGCTCGCACCTGTAGTTCCAGCTACTTAGGAGGCTAAGGTGGGAGGATCACTTGAGCCCCAGAGCGGAGGTTGCAGTGATTGTGCCACTGCACTCCAACCTGGGTGACAGAGTGAGACCCCATCTCAAAAAAA